TTAAAGCATTTGTGTTATGGTGTTCCATGGATAGAGAATAACAAGATCTCTGGTAGCGTAGTGGTTACGAATCGGGCTGTGAACCGCAAGGTCAGCAGTTCGAAACTACCAGCCGCTCCGCGGGAGAAAGATGAGGCTTTCTGCTCCCGTAAAGATTTACAGCCTCGGAAACCTTGTACAGGGTCGCTATGGGTCGGAACCGACTCAATGGCACTTAACAAAAACAACAACATCTTGGAAGTACAGCCAGAATACTCTACAGAAGTGAAGATGGTGAAGTAAGACTCTTGCATTTTGGATATGTCATCCGGAGGGGAACATTTGCTGGAAAATCAGGACTGGTCAGAGAAAAAGAGGAAGGCGCTCAAATGAAATGGACTGACAGTGGTTCCAACAATGGACTCAAACACAGCAGTAACTGAGAGGATGGCACAGGACCAGGCAGTGTTTTGTTCTGTTGTATGTAGTGTTGTTGAGTCATTTTTAACATGAAGTCACTGAATGAAAATGGATTGTTTTTTGTAGAAACGTCTCTGAAGCTATTTTTTAAAATGAGACATAGCTCTCCTTTGGATATTTATTTTTAAATAATATTAAAAAGCAACATCCAGAATTTTCAGAGGTGGGAAATTTCCACTTGAAAGGATAAGCAGACCAGCCTGGAGCAGCTAGAACAGAAGATACTTCTTGAAAGAAAGCCCAACAGGAAAAATACAAAACAATATAGGCAGACCAACTGATTACTACAAGAAGAAGCAAGTTGCTCACCCAGGAGACATCAAGGCAAGTGGTCGGGTCCCCTGAGGGCAAACCTCCTTCGAAGACTAAGACTCAATGGGAATACACGCTCTGATTGGTGACCACGTTTGTCATCAATAAGGGGAAGTAAGGGAAAAACAGCAATAAAGCTGTGAGCTAAGCCCTACAATGTTCAGTAGACTCCAATGAACCCCAGGTGGAGAACTGGTTGGCCAGCACTGTGGCAAGACTTGGGGACTCTTGGGCCCAGTCAGTGACATAGTCACAGAGGACTAGAGTGGAAAGTGAAGCATCCAGCTGATAAGACGAGAGAGCATATGCACAAGAACACCCACACTTGCAGATAATACCCACTTGACCTGGCTTCAATGACTGGATGATCAGAACTCAACTAGAAGAAGAAAGAGGGAAAAAAAAGAGTAATCTGATACAATTTGATGAATTTGACCTACAGCTATGGATGCAGTATCTCAAGAGGGAACAAATCTTTACAGCAAGGATTATTCCCACCCCCTCCACACCCGGAGTAGACAGGGATGGGCAACTTGGACATTGGCTACCCAAAATGGGGGAGGTGCTACAAAGATAAGAAGTGACTTACAAGCTTTCAAGAGGGAACCTAGATCCAAAGGACGTGGAGGAAGGTAGAATCTCCACAGAGTAGTATCTAATCTGTCTAGGCGGGGCTGATGAAAGGAAATGAGGATAGGTCTTTTGTGGTATAATAGTGAATAATTGTTATCAGGACTGCTTGTGAGGGTTGGAAATGTAAAGGTAGACAATTTGTAGCAAAAGGAGGGTAGTGATTAACTTTGCAGTCTAGGAGCAGAGGTTCCTGGAACCATCAAGGGAGAAGAGCAGAGAGCGGGACCCTACCCAGAGAAGCAGTGATGCCAGAGATGGAGGCAGAGACGATGACATGAAGAGATGGAGCAGCTGGGGACTTTAGAACCAGAGAGGGAGAGGGGCTGTGTGCTGACGACCAGGGGACAGGCTTTCAGGGTATATACCCTTTGGTTGGTTGATGATGCATGGAGGGGACTGTAACCATGGCAATGAAATGATAGGATAGGATGAATGTAAAGCTAATGTTCTCCCATGTAAACTATCACATAATTCACAATAAATTTTTTTTTTAAAAAGCAACAGAATACAAATGTCATTGTATTTTGAAAAGTTGTTTTCAATGAATAAATTTTTATAAACAAGTTTATATTCCAGAAGGAAACAGAAACAGTACCATCTTAAATACAGAAGTTTTATAGATTTAAACATTTTTAAATGTTTAAATCAGGAAATGTCTACATTTTTTCAAATGTTCAAACAAAAAAGCAAGCTGTATTATTTTCATAGTACAATGTGTCCTTACATACATGCCCTGGACATTGTGAAAATGCTAATATTAGAAGTTTGAGTGGCAGAAACCAATGCACTTTAAGGTTTCATGAAACTTATCCCCAGAAAAAAAGGTATACTTTCAGTAAAATATTTCACTATTTTATCTGACTGCATTGACAAGTTTTGTTTCCTATTAAAAAGGGGGGATTTAGGAGAAAGGAGCTCTAGTTTCCCTTTGCCAGGACAATGCAAGCATGTGTTCTGCCAGACTGTATGTTTTCAAGCTGCGGGTGACAGTTCAAAACATCCACACGACATCTGGCTGGGAGACCGTTCATCAGTCTTCCTTCCTTCACCCACTGTTGCCTGTCAGCCTCTCAGGACCCGTTTCTCAGTGTAAGTCCATGCCATGAATGCACTCTGCCAGGCTCTGGTCTGTCTCCATGCTGGGGGCAAATGTCCAAATGTGCAGGCCACATCTGGCTGTCTTCCTTCCTTCACAGCCCCTGCTCAGGCTCTCCTCCCAATAAAATTGATCAAGAGGCAGAGAATTCACTGACAGACTCATAGATGAGTCTTTTTGGAAACAACAGCCTATTTCTTCATGAAACCAGTAAGTGGAGAGGAGGTATCCCCAGTTGTTTTCTTCAGTAGTCTGGCATGAATTCACCTCTGACTTGAAAGATTTTGGTTCAGAAGCAGAATGAAAACTAGTCATTTAACCACTTCCGCAAAATTCAGTGGACCTGGGGGCAGGGAAGACTATATCATTCTGATAATTTTTCTTGATATTTTGCATAATTGTGTTTTCTAGACAGTTCACTGATTATTCACATTAAAGTTTTGACTTCTTTTTGTGAAAGTTTATACCGATAGACCAAAACAACACGTATGAAAGATAAAATCTCCATTACTCTTATCCTATTCCACATTTGGTTACTTTTGTGAGAAGATTCCTTGTGACAGCGTAACACATTCTATTAACCATCAATATTCCCCATCACTGTTTTATGGGCAAAATGTTATTTCTGGTAAATACTTACCAAATCCATGTTGTTGTTATGTGCCGTGGAGTTAGGTTCTGACTCATAGAGACCCTGTACAGGGTTTCCGAGGCTGTAAATCTTTACGGGCGCAGAAAGCCTCATCTTTCTCCCACGGAACAGCTGGTAGTTTCTAACTGCTGACCTTGCGGTTTGCAGCCTGATTCCAAATCCATGTATACATGTAAATTTTCTATTTTAGATTTTCATTACCCTTCACAAAGAACATTCATCCCACCATTTTGAAAGAATTTAAATTAACAAACATCAGTAATTATTGGCCAAAAAAGTTTTTGGATGGACATTTATGTTAAGTGCTGTTGAGTCACCTCTGACTTAGAGGGTTTCTGAGGAGTGACTGGTGAGTTTGAACGGCTGACTTTGCAGTTCAGTGCTTATCCTACTGCACCACATAATCAGTTTACTGACAAAAAAAAAGGGTTTTGGATGAATTAGCATTTATGTAGAATGTGTTAAAAAACAAAGCTACCCAAGTATTTTGATGATTGGGGTTGGACAGAGGGAGGACAAATGCCCCTTGGTCTTTATCATTATTGTTTGCTGTTAAGTGCCGCTGACTTGGTTCTGACTCACAGCGACCGTGCCTAGGGTTTCCGAGGAGCAACTGGTGGGCTTGAACTGCCTATGCCTGTCTTGCTGTTCAAATAGACCTTGTGATACAGTGCATTATGCTACAGCACCACACCTCGACTCCAGATGATAAAAAGCTGTGAAATGAGGATGTGGTGATTTATTAGCAAAAGAAACCAAGGAAAGAGTTTCATCATTGAGAAAGAAAATTATGTAACTTTCCCCATCTTTCTGGCTGTACTCTCACATGAATTATTTCAAAACATCCTTGTTTAACACTTGCTGGAAATTGTGGATATACTTAAAAAAAAATAAATGCCTTTTGTGAATCAAATTGTTTTTTTAAAAAGAATGTTCTGAATCATGGTCATTTTTATAATCTTCCTGTCCCCTTCATTCGCACCACTATTATACTACCATTCTTTGATGGCAATTAACAAAGATCAATATGTGCAATACTGGATTTAATGTTTATATTTGAATTTTTCTAGAATGTTAATTTAATAAATATTTGTATGCTTGCCATGTGGGAAAAAAACAGGAGAGGGGAATTCAAATGAGTAGTTTTTCTGATGTAAAAATATACATTTAAAGATATTTAACACTTCCTGAGTGACTTAGTCATACATCAAATGATTTAATAAACAAATCCTAACACTTTTGTGTGAACAATGCTATGTATAAACTGACACTTGTATCTTCATTAGGGTAAAACATACAATATAACATGTTACAAAATTTTCATATTTTAAATTGTCTAAGAGGTCAGCAATACCACTGATCCCCAAACTTCACCAGTAAACTTTTTCAAGTATAATGCTAATAAAATAATCACTGAGAAGTTACGTTTTCTGATTTATTAACAAAATACTGGTAGCCATTTCAGACTATCAAGTTCTGATTCACTAACAAGAAATTTCTTGTAATACAAAAAGATTACAAATAATTAAAATAATTGATTTATAATACAATCAAACTTTATAGTTCACCTTTTCCAAAACTAAGACAATTAGGAATGGTGGCACCTTCTACATAAAACCCTTTCCTCTTCATAAAGCCCTGAGGTGAAAGGTTACTAATGTAATAAAACTGGAACCACAATTCTTCTCATTTCTGTATTAAGCTGTTGGTTTAAAAACATTTTCTTAAAAGAGATGCAGTAACTTATAAAGCTGCTCTGCTTTTCAACAAAATTTTTCCAGGCTAATTTAGCCAAAAGGCCTAAAATGACCCTTGGAAAAAAAACAAACGATGTCCCTTTAATACTTGTTAGTGCCGAGCTGAGCGCCACTTTCCATCTCTACTATTGTCTCTTCTGTTATCGTAGTCGTGGCTCCAGCCATCGTGGGCTCGGTCTTCATAGAAGAAATCTTCTCTGCTTCCCCGGTAGTGGTCAGAGCTATGGTCCGTGTAGCACTGCTCCCGGCTATAGTGTCTCTCTGCTACATAGGGATGAGAATTCTGCCGGCCTTTCCGCTGTGATGGCGGCGCATCTGAGCGCCACTGGGAGCTGGAAGACTGGTTAAAGGAATGACTATGGGGTGGAACTGTTGGGGAAAACCCTGGTTGATCCAGCTGTGGAGAACCAAATTTCCCACCATATGACATGTGTCTTAAAACGTTGTTCATCTGAGGGAAGAAGAAAATAAGGAAAATTTAACCACAAATATTTCTGAGTGTCAAAATCAGCATGTATTCGGTCATATATAAATAATTAAAAACACAATCCCTCATGTCTTGATGGATCCTATGTTAAATATAACTAAAAGCAGTTTAGTACAATACCCTATTTCAATGTATAGTGAGTTACACGGCATCAGTTCATAAATATACTGGTTGCCCTTAAGAATACAACTCAGAAGTCATATAAGCTGACTATAATACAAATCATTGAGTGATGAATATATAAAGAACCAGGAACTCAGTATCCTTATGAAAGTTTTCGTTAACAGGTAGAGTATTTTAAGGGAAAATTCTTGAAGGTGGAAACATACCAAGGAAAGAAATTACACAAACAAGAGTAACAGATAACCACAGGACAGAAACATAGAAAGGCAAGTAATTCTGGCTGATATAGGCTCTAGGTCTTATAATGTGTAATGAATATAAAGCTAGAAGCGTTCGCTTCGCTAGTCAGACTACTGAGTATAATGCAAACAATGGGAAGTGACTGTTGGTGGTCCAACTCCAGCAGCGTCTCTGGGAGAAAGATGTGGCAGTCTGTGTCAGTAAACATTTGCAGCCTTGCAAATTGTAGAGGGTGGAGCTACTCTGTCCCATCTATGTGGCTGCTGTGAGTCAGAATCAACTCGAAGGCAGTGGGTTGGTTTGGTGTAACACCTAGAAATCCCTTTAGAAAAAAAACAAAGACTTGAAAACTGATGGGAGACAAAGAAGAAACAAGGAAAGATACCAAAGATGTTAAGCATCATCTCAAAGTAATACTGTTACAGAGAAATGGAAAATTAAGAAGGAACTGGTCTAGAAGACTTGAGTGTCACAGTACTAAAGAGAATTCCTAATGAGAAGTCACTCAGCACAGTTGCAAGATCATCAGAAATATGTTTCCAGTTATTCACACACAAATTAACAATGGTTGAAAAGAGAAATGCAAATGTAAAATGTTCTACATGTATTTATCTCAAATCGTTTAAGCTATATATTTCAGCTACATGAAAAATTTTAAAAAGCAATCTTAAAAAATTAAAAGGAATAAAACCCCCAACTTAATTTAAAAGTTAAAAACGACAGTTATTCGATAGAATATGAGCACTGTTAGTATCATTCTTAGCAACTCAAGCTGAAAAATAAGCCTACCACTGCTTGTCTCTGAAAATTTTCTGGAGAAGAGAAAGATCTCTGAATTGTCTGTGTTGATGAAGTCATGTTCTCCATAGTCCTTTCGTACCGGCTGAAAATGAAAACAACATGTAATCATTCATCTAACAAATATTTACTGAATAGCAATCAGAAGCAAGGCACAGTTCCCAGAGCTGGGAATGAACAAGACAGACAAGGTACCTACTTGTCATGGAGCTGGGTTGAGGATACAGACAAGTTATACTCACAAGTTGTAAGTGCTGCGATATAGGATCTGTATAATCTGATACAAGGCAACTGGAGGTAAGGGAAGGAGGGGCTTTCTTTTTTAGTTTAGTTGGTCAGGGAAAGACATTCTAAGCATGAAATGAGGATTGATAGGATTACCTAGAGGTAGGATAGTACCACCTTAGGGTTAGTGTTAGGATCAACAAGCTACATACAGCCTGTAAACCAGCCTGCTGCTTTTATAAAACTTTATTTTTATAAAGTTTTATCAGAAAGCACTTGGATCTTTTGTTACATATTATCTAAGGCTACTTTTGTTGGAGCCAACTGAGTTGAATAGCCCTAAAAGGAACTGCATGGCCTGAAGAGACAGATATATTTACTATTAAGTCCTTTATGGAAAAAAAATGTCAACCTATGGATTGTGCAAAGAAGCTCTGATAGCATAGTGGTTACGAATCCGGCTGTGAATCGCAAGGTCAGCGGTTCGAAACTACCAGCTGTTCTGCGGGAAAAAGATGAGGCTTTCTGCTCCCATAAAGATTTACAGCCTCGGAAACCCTGTACAGGGTCGCCGTGAGTCGGAACCAACTCCACGGCACATAACAACAACATGGGTTGTGCAAAGGCCTAGATTGAGAGTTATAACTAACAGGATTTGAACGATCAAATACAGGGAATGAAAAAAATAAGAAATAAAGGATAAAATCTAGACTTCTGCCTTGAGTAACTAGAAGATCATGATTCCATTTTACTGAGACAGGAAAGAGGTACATGTTTTGGAACTTAAGGAACTAAGAGGTCTATAATACACATAGGATACTGATTTAAAAGGACTTACACCTTATTCCTCATTTCAAGAGGTATCTTGCTCTACAGAAAAATTCATTTATAAAGTATTTTAATAAATTCATTTAAAAACAAATTTTTGCAACAACTGACGTATAGTTTATTTTCTAAGAATATAAAAAAGATACTCATGGCACTGTGGGTTAATGCGCCAGACTGCAAAGCGTTTGAACTGCAAGGTCAGTGTGATTCAAGCTCACCAGTCACTCCTCAGAAACCCTATACAGGGTCGCTATGGGTCGGAACCAACTCAATGGCACTTTACAACAACTACAATCCTCTCATGAGAACTAAAGCATCTTTTTTTCTGAGAAATGATGGAGTATGGCACCACAAGATAAGCACTCAACTTCAAAGTTGGTTTGATCTGCGAGGTTAGCGGTTCAAACTCATCAGCTACTCCTTGGAAACCCTACATATGGTCGCTATGAGTCAGAACTGATTTAATAGCACTTAACGACGTCAAAAAAAATCCCTGTGTTTATCCTTGGTTCCATGTGGCACTGTTGGATCTCCACTGTACTGTGAACCAAAAACAAAAAAGTCAATGGTTCAAACCCACCAGCTACTCCTCAGAAATGCTATACTTGGGTCACTATGAATCAGTACCTACTCAACAGCACTTAGCAAGTCAAAAGTGGTTTGAAATGTTCTGAATTCTCACTTTACTAAAACATCACTAATTCTAGCTGGCAAGAAAGGATAGTAGGAAGGTGCTTTTATTGCACTATTATTTGCTTACAATATCATTTCTCTCTGGCTTTTGGTTAATCCCAATGACCAATCTCATCCATATTACAATTAAGAGATTCTTAATTGGTCTTTGTATTTTCAATTTCCCCTGCAATCTATTATTTCACTGCAACCAAAAAACTACTCCTTCAGAGAACTTATTACATAAACAGGTGCTGTGGATAAGCACTGGACTGATTACCCAAGGTCAGCAGTTCAAACCCATCAGCCACTCTCGGAAGCACTATACAGGGCACTATGAGTCGGATGTAGTAGCATACAAGAATATACAAGGTTTCAAAAAGTACAATGAAAATTCCATTATCTTTTCATCCCATTTTCCAAGAACTTTAAAAAAGCCGTCTCATATTAAAATGACTGGGCTCAATCACACTGCCTGGGTTAAGTCCAGGTCCACTGCTGATTAGCTGCTCTTCACATAGAAGATAGAAGATAATAATCCTTACTCATTAGACTGTGAGGAATAAATATTATGTGCAAGGGACTTAGTAAATTGTTCCTGGTGAAGTATCTGCCCCCTAAAGCATATAATATTACTTAAGCAAAAAAAAGTACCTTTCCCAACTATGTAGCTGGAAGAATTTTACAGATGATTTAACTTAACTTCTTTTCTTTACATATGAAAGAACAGGATCAGAGAATCAAGACCAGCCCAAAGTTAACAGTTAATCATATAGACGACCTAGAATCCAATTCTATATTCTTAGTCCAGTCACCTACCTACTTAAGTAATTTCAAACAACAAATAACCACCAATTGTTGTTGTGGCTCTTGTTAAGTGCAGTCAAGTCAGTTCCTGTACAGGGTTTCCAGGGATCAGCTGGTGAGTTTAAACCATTGTCCTTGCAATTGAATGCTTATCCTATGGTGCCATACCAGAACTCCAATTAGTTTTAAAAGATGAAGCAAAATAGAAAATACACTGCAAACCAGAAGGTTCAAGGTTCCAATATATTAGCCACTCCACGGGAGAAAGATAAGGCTTTCTGCTCCCATGAACATTTAAAGCCTTAGAAACCAACTCAACGGCACTAACTGCTAACCATAAGGTTGGCAGGTCAAGCCCGCAAGTGGCTCCTTGGAAACCCTATACAGGGTAGCTATAAGTAGGCGCTTTCTAAATGGGTATTCAACACCACAGCCCTGATGGTGCAATAGGCTAAGTACTGGACTGCCAACCACAAAGTCAGCCATTCAAACCTATCATCAGCTGCTGCTCTGCAGGAGAAAGCAGCAGCTTTCTGCTCCTGTAAAGATTTCTAGCCCTGGAAAACCGATGTTGTTGTGAAATGCTGTGGAGTCAGTTCCAACTCATAGCAAGCCTGCATAGGGTTTCCCAAGCTGTTGTGGTCCTGTGAGTCAATGCGCCAGACTGTAGAAAGCCTATCTTTCTCCCACAGAACAGCTCGTAGTTTCAAACGGCTGACCTTGAGATTAGCAGCCCAACTCATAACTAACCAGAGCTTCTTTGAATATAGAAGTAAAGGAGCATAAAGGAGGTAACTATAAGAAGCTCTGGTAGCGTAGTGGTTACGAATCGGGCTGTGAACCTTAAGGTCAGCGGTTCGAAACTACCAGCCACTCCACGGGAGAAAGATGAGGCTTTCTACTCCCGTAAAGATTTACACCCTTGGAAACCCTGTACAGGGTCGCTATGGGTCGGACCCGACTCGATGGCATTTAACAACAACAACAACAACAACATTCACTCACTGGGCATTATGACACCAATACGTAAAACAATCCCAGACATAAGATTTTAACAGGTGAGAACTATTACCTGCTAGGAGATGTGGGACTAGGAGTCGGGCTTGAATTCCCAGTGTGATGCTGAGAATATGACACGGGGACATCCTGAGAGGCATGGCTACTTCCTAAAATGAATAATGCGAAAGAAGCTAGATAAAAAATTTAATTTGACATTCTCTCCCATATTGCATCCTAAATATTTCCAAAAACTTAAATAATACATAAGATGAAATAGAAAGTTCACATTGTAGTTGGCTACTTTGCAGTTTCATCAGTGAGAATTATAAATGTGTTCATACCAGTTACCCAAAGGAAGCTATTAAAACAAAATCTATACAATTTATAAACATGCAACCTGACTGTAATTGATTGATTGTTGTTATGTGCTGTGGAGTCAGTTCCAACTCAGCAACCCACAGGGTTTCCGAGGCTGTTTAAATCTTTACGGGAGCAGAAAGCCTCATCTTTCTCCAGCGGAACAGCTGATAGTTTTGAACTGCTGACTCTGAGATTCGTTTGTTGTTGATGTTAGGTGCCACTGAGTTGGTACCGACCCACAGCGACCGTATGCACAGCAGAACAAAGCACTGCCCTATCCTGGGCCAACCTCACTACTGTTGCCCACGCTCGAGTCCATCGATGCTGCAACTAATTCGTAAGACTGGATAAATGGCAAGATTTATCCTCACGTTTTCAAGAATCAAAATTTGTAAAAGTAAACTACAAAACAGCCAAGAAAAGTACTTTCAGAAAGTAACTCTGCTCCTTTCAAAAAGTGAATTTTTAAGTAATAAATTTATGCTCTTTTCACTAACCAAAGCTGAAATGTAAAAGGGATTTTAAAATGAAATTTTTATGATCCACATGAGTTACCATCAGACAAAAGTTTAAGAGAATACCATCACCCCAAAAGGTTTTAATACAGAACAATGAAATTCAAAACAATCAATCAAAACCCCCTCAAAACAACACCATTGAATAGTTTACCTGATCTAAATTGAATTTTGATGGGCCTTCCAAAAAGTTTGATTCCATTAAGCAGATTCATTGCATAGGGAACAGAAACTTCATGTTTGAAATTCACAAACGCAAATTGCTTTGGTTTACCGTCCTTATCTTTTGGGATTTTAACTTTTACTACTGGCCCAGCCTACAAGCAAACAAACAAGAGTTCAAATGTAAGTAAGGCAATATCAGAAAAAAAATCCAAATTTTGCAAATTAAAGCGTTAACAAAGTTTTAATGTAACAGAAATGCAATCAGGAATTTAAAAATAAGAGAGAGAAAGAGAGCAAGCTGGATCCAGACGGATTTCCATCTTGTTTAGAGCAAAATCCCCCAGCTATGGTTGAAGAGTGGATTAACATAAAAAACTGAATGGATTTTCTATTTTAAGCACTGTATGGCTTTTAAACAAGCTGACAATCATCCACCCATATGAAAATTTTACATGTTTCAAGAGCAAAAGGAAGTGATTTTCTTAGGCTACAATTCGTGTTTGTATCGACTTAATCCAATATTAACAGTTACTGGTTGAGGAAGGAGTGCAATACTTACGAATTTTTAACACTTGGGACTTCAAGATTTTAATAAAGGAACACTTAAGTAGCTTTTGTTAAGTGCCATCGTGTCGGTTCCGACTCATAGCAACCCGTATAGTTTCCGAGAAGGGGCTGGTGAATTTGAAACACCGATTGCCTATTTAAAGTACTTTAACAACGCTACAAAATTTAACACAGAAATTCAAGATTAACCTATCAATGAGTCTGGGGAAGTTCATCCAAAGACAAATGACCTTAAGGGGTAGATGAGGAAAATAGCAATAGGAAAAGCAGTGTTACGCAAAGAACTCACATGTTTGCCTCTTAAGACACGGGAATCTTCACCTGGGTAATGCTTTATAGAGTATTTCTCCCTAACCGTTCATCCTCGCTTGACGCGAGCTCACTTTCAAAGCGCGACCTCACCCCCAAAAGGGCCACCCGTCTAGGGCTCCGACCCACCGCCAAGCTCGCCGCAGCGACGGCCGTTGGGCCGGGCCCTTAGCGAGTCAGAAAAGGAACGGAAAATGGGCTGATTCCAGCCGCTTACCTGGTGGAAAAGCTCGAAAAGGAGCTCCTCTGTCACTTTAGTTTCAAGATTGCCCACGAAGAGAGTGCGATCCGCTTCCGCCGCAGCTGCCCCCATCTCAGCGACGTCCCTCCTACTGAAGCCGAAGGGTCGATGCTGATTTAGCCCACTGCGCAGTCTCAAAAACCCCACGTAAGGCGTGACGCTACGTAAACGACAATCACGCTTGGTCTCGGCGCCTACCGACGTACGGTAACGGATTACGCATGCTCGTGAGAAGAGCGCTCATTGGAGGAAGCGTCTCAATTGGTCGCAGCTGTAGCTATGGCTCCTGGAGCCGTTTGTCTGCTGGCGGGATCGGTTTGGACTGATCTGTAACGCTTGTAAGGACTTACTTTGTTCGAGGGACGTAAGGCAAATACTGCGGGCAGTGTTTGAAGATGACCTTGAACTATGTGTCCCTATCTGCCGGCGACCAAGGGTACAGGATGGCCTACCGCTCTACCCAGGGCGACTTCAGCCCGCCGGCCTTTGCGTTGGCGATGGTGTCTGGAGACAACTTGTTCTTGACCAGGACTGGGGCTACTTACCCCGGGCCCGTTCCTCGACAGACCGTGAGGCCCAGCGTTCGTATCGAGAGCCGCCGAGTAGCTGCTGGAGGTCGAAGTCCTACCCGCCTTATAAAGGGAAGGGAACTGGATGGCCGGGGCCGAAGCCGTCAAGCCAGATTCTCACCCTACCCTGCGCCTGGGGTTAAACTCGATCTCTTAAGAAGCGTGCTGCAACAGCGTCTGGTGGCGTTTGGAGGTGTCATCGCTGCCCGAATCCCAGCTTAGAACCAATGCCTCCCTCGGCACTCCGTGATTAGCTTGTCAATAAGGCCTTTCCAAAAATCTTTCTTGGAGCAATTGCAGTCTTATTTTTAGAGGGATGTGTTTTTATTTTAATGTAAAAAGAAACCTGTAAGGGTTCTACTGAGAGCCTATTCAAAGAAAACTTTTACTAAGTCCGATGGGTTTCTTAGGCAAGAATGATTACATCAGGAGGAGGTGATTGGTAAGTGCCATCGAGTCCATTTCAACCCATAATGACCCTGTATAGGGTTTCCGATGAGCGGCTGGTGAGCTTGAACAGCCAAACTTGCTGTTCAAACCGACATGCAGTCCTGCAGCATTAACCCAGAGCGCCACACCAGGACTCCAAGGAATAAACTTGTTAACTGCCATCAAGTCGGTTCCTACCGATAGCAACCAAGCAGTGGTTGGTGAGCTTGAACTGCTGAACTTGAAGTTCAAATGGCTTTGCATTATGACGCATTAACCCACAGCGTGGTGGTTATGTACCATGAAGTCACTAGATGAAGCTAATACATGTGATCAGCACACTGGTCTGTTCAAGTTTCCATGATAATAATATGGACTGCTTATAATGCCTTTCCATAATACTGTACATTCCCCGTCCTTTAGCAGGCTGATATTTTTGTGTTCTTAACTACCTAAGGAGTAGTGTAGTGGTTATGGATCGGACTGCGAACCGTGAGGTCAGGAGTTCGAAACTACCAGCTGTTCCGCGGGAGATAGATGAGGCTTTCTGCTCTTGTGAAAGATATACAGCCTCGGAAATCCTGTCGCTATGAGTCGGAACTGACTCCAGGGCACATCACCATGAGTCAGAACCAACCGACTCTAAGGCACTTAATAACAGCCATCTGAATGCATATGTTTCCCAAAGATAAAAAGATGGAGTTAGGGAAAATCGTGTAAGGACTCTTTATGTAAGCAGGTTGTTAGTGCAATCAAGTTGGTTCCAAGTCAGTGAATCTGTTTAGGGTTTCCAAGGAGCGTCTGGTGAGTTTCCTTTTGGTTCACAGCCCAGTGTTGATCCTACAGTACCACACCAGTTTTTTGTTTTTTTTTTTCCAGTGGACCCTGCCTGTCTGGTTGTTGTTAAGTACCATCAAGTCAATGACCCATAGCAACCCTGTACAGGGTTTCCGAGGAGCAGCTGGTGAGCTTGAACTGTCTGTCTGTCTGGGTAGTCTTTCTTATAAGATAATTATGTTCAGATAAAGTAAAATTACTGTATCACACAACAATATTGAATTGTTTCAGTCACATCTTAGGGAAAATGGTGATAAACCAGAGAACTTCATAAGAGTGAATATAGTGAGACATCTGGAAACCAGCTCATAGGAACAATGATTGCAAGAATAATGATGTTAGGTGCCCTTGAGTTAGTTCTGACACCTAACAACCCTATGCACAACAGAACCAAACACTTCTCAATTGTATAAGCCCACTGTTGCTGCCACTGCATCTATCCATCTCATTGAGGGTCCTCCAGGGATTGGTCCTTCCTTAAAACATGTCCAAAAACGAAAGACGAAGCCATGCCATCCTGGATCTACTTCTTCCAACAGATTTGTTTGTTGTTCTGGCAATGTAGGGTACTTCCAGTATTCTCCAACACCATAATTCAAAAAAATAGATTCTTCTACGGTCTTCCTTATTCATTATCCAGGTTTCACCTACATATAAAGTAATTGAGAATACCAAGGTTTAGGTTAAGCCATGGTATAACCTTAGCCCTCAAACTAACATCTTTGCTCTTGAACACTTTAAAGAGGTCTTTTGCAGCAGATTAGCCTAATTGTCCTTTGATTTCTTGACTGTTCCTACCATGAGTGTTAATTGTGAATCCCAGCAAAATGAAGTCTTTGACAATGTCTTTTCTCCATTTATCTTAATGTTATTTTTTTGGTCCAATGTGAAGATTTTTGTTTTCTTTACATTGTTGAGCAATCAATATTGAAGACCGTAGTCATTGATCTTAATAAGTCTTTCAAGTCCTCTTTGCTTCCAGCAAGCAAGGTTGTGCCATCTATATATCTCAGGTTGTTCATAAATCTTCCTCCAATCCTGATGCCATGCTCTTCATATAATCCAGCTTCTTGGATAATTTGCTCAGCAGAAAGCCCTGGTAGGGTATGCCCTTTGGTGGTTTGAATGGTTATATATTCCTGAGTGCTTCGGTGTACATCAAAAAACAAAAGGAATGGAAGCAAATGCTGTTGGATGATAATGCATGGAGTGAATTGTAGTCATTACAGTGAAATGAAATACGTGACTGTAAAGCTGATGTTCTCCCATGTAAACTATCAAGCAATTCACTATAAAAACCCACATAATAATAGTCATAAAACTAAAATAAATATGGAAACTAAAAAAAGCCCTAGTAGCATGTAGCGGTTGTACATTGGATTGCTAATCATAAGGTCAGCAGTTCGAATCCACTAGCTAGCTGCTCCTTGGGAAAAAGAGGAGGTTTTCTGCTCCTGTAAAGATTTACAACCCCCAAAACCCTATACAGGGTTGCTCTGTGTTGGAACTGACTCGATGACACCGTCACCACTACCACCATACAGAATGGCTACCTTTTGATAACTATGGTTTAATCCCCTGCTAGAAGCTTTTATCTCCTTCATACAAATTAAGACCATGCACATTGCATAGCAATTAAGTCTCTTAACCTGGCAGAGTCAGAAATGGTGCCCAGCTCAAAGTGTACAATCATACCACTTTGAATGTATGTCCCTCTCCACAGTTCTGACAACAATCCAGTCTGCCACATCAGGATCCAGAAAGAGCTCACTGTGTCTCTTCCAAGTCTTCCATCCTAGGACTTCAACCTGCAATTTTTCATGTTCCGGTTATTTTATTGTTTCAGGCACTTACATTTTACAATATCTAGTAATGAGCTCTGGTAGCAGAGTGGTTACGAAATGGGCTGCTATTCTCACGGTCAGCAGTTAGAAACTACCAGCTGTTCCGTGGGAGGAAGATGACGCTTTCTGCTCCTGTAAGGATTTACAGCCTCGGAAACCCTGTACAGAGTTGCTATGAGTCAGAACCAACTCCACAGCGCATAATAACAGCAACGCTCTGGTATAATTTTATTGTCCTTGACTAAACTTGTTTTTAACTGGCTTGAAACCCTGTTTACTCATAATGTCTTTGGTAAGCAGGCAGAGGAAAGGAAAGCAATCTTGCCTCTGGTGATTCCCTAGACACAGTATCAAGACTGGCGTGTTATTAGTGATATCCATTAGGAATAGCCCCTTATGAATATAGGCTCTTGTTGCATGTTGTTGAGTTGGCTCCAACTAAAAGCAACCCTGTATAAAGTTTCCAAGGAGCAGCTGGTGGGTTTGAACTGCAGACCTTGCAATTAGTAGCTCAGTGCTTATCCTACATTCCTACATAGGTGGGTACACTTACTTCTAAAGTATGCTAATGATATAATTGAGAAACAAAGAAATATTTGAAGGCAGCCTTGTCTCAAAATGTACTTCTAATCAGAGGAAAATAACTACTATGCCGTTTGCAAACTGTTGTCTTTAGCCTCACAAAGACCTAAGAGTAACTGAAACCGTGCAATTTTAATAAACCACACTCCTTAAATACATGTTTAAGACCTTCCATAATCTGACCAAGTTACATTGCCAGCCTTTTATCTTACTCATAATTTCCCCAGGTGGTGGCTGATTTTTGCCTCTGTGCCTATGTTTATCCTAGGCCCCTTAACTACCTTACTTATCCTTCCCATGGTTTATCTTCCCTACTATACTGAAGCTGCCTGAGAGCAGGACATATCCAAATTTATCTTTATTTGTATATATAAAATAAATTTTAGATATTAGAGTAGATATTTAATGAATACCTGTAGAATGAAGGAATGAATTTCATAGACTATTTCTCATTGAATTCAAAATCCAAATCTATAAAATTCCCAGAGGCAACGGCAGGAATTATAGTTTGTGTATTTAAAATTCTCCAGTTGCCTGGACCTGTAAGAGTCACATGATAAGACAAAATCCTTGTTGATTAAAGTTTACTGCAGTTTGAAACCAATCTATCTTTAGAAATATAATGTAATCCAAGATGTGGACAAACATTTATGCACATTAATAAGGTATTTAACATTTTCTCTATTTATAAAATATGGGAATATCCAAAATAAATGATGGATGAGAAAAAAATAGTGCTTACTATGTGTCAGGTTGCTAACAACTTTCATAAGGATTATTTAGCAAGGGTGAGTCAAAAATTATCTGCACTCCGGCTGTAGAATTTATTTTAATCCTCTTTCATAAAAGGCAAATGTATAATTTTTGACATAATGTCCTTGCCTTTCAATATACCGTGTCCATCTATCAACAAGTTTTCATATTCCCTTCTTTTAAAATGTGTTCGGCTGAGCTGTGAGCCACAAATGCACCAGTGTCTTCACGTCTTCATTGAGGTGAATCTTCATCCTCGTAGGGCTGCTTTCAGGGGACTAAACAGGTGAAAGAATGTTGAAGCAAGATCAGAACTATTGAAAGGATGCTTTAACACCTCAAAATCAAGTTTTTCAGAGTGCCAACAGTGTGGACAGAGGTGTGCAGATGTGCGTTGTCATACAAGATCACAATGTCCTTGGATAACAGTCCTGCATTTAATCCAAAGTGTAGGCTTCAGATCTTCAGTGAACATCTCACTGCAATAAGCACTGTTGATGAAACTCTTTCCTGGTAATGTTCCAATACTGGCCCTTGAGAATTCCAGAAAACTGTAAGCATCAATTTTCCAGCTAATGGTTGACTTTTTGTTGGTCTGCAATTAAAGATGTTTCTATTCCATACTCTGCCATTTACTTTTAGACTCATAGTGATGAATCCATGTTTCATCATCAATAATGAGTTGTTTTTTTTATAAAGAAACTTAACTTCCTTCAGGTATTGGTTCAAATTTTATTTACAGATGTCCAAATACTTCTGTTTATGTTCTTTTGTGAG